CACTGTTGTGTGAGCAGATGCAGAATCCATGTACATGTAGAATCCATCTCAGGACCAGACTTAAGACCATTTACAAGAAGTGGGGTGAACACAGGAATGCTTTTGTTGCAGTCCAGTTGAATAGCTGTGACTTGAATAGGACTTTGTACTGACAACGTTACACCTATACATGCTCACTTTCCTATGGAGCCCATGGGAGCCCACGGCTGGTCCATTTAGTACCATGGGAAAGCACACTGGTAAACAAAGCGTAGTATCATCATTACACTTTACAGTCTTATTGGGGGGGGTCACGCTAATCCTTTGGTGGTTTTGTGATTATTTTAAAGAGGTCTCTGTATCCCGGGCCATCATCATATCAGCCGTTTCTATTAAGGAATTGCAAATTCTATTGCAAATTTCCTGTATGTGGCTGAATCTGCTTATGTATAATGCATGTTTAGTGATCCATCCTTTTTCCAGGGCAATCAGGCGTGATAGAATAAACATGTTAGTCCTTGTCGTCAAGTCCATCACAGGTCTGTGGCAAAGGGCCCAGTGTAATGGCAAGTCCTTTCATTGTTACTGTTCATTTTGTTACTTCTGATTGGGTACATGTACACAAGAAAACTTGTGACAGTCACCTGCAACACTGACAGAAACACGTAAAAATCAGTGCCTTACTGTGCAGGTCACTCCGTGTTGCAGACTTGTACTGTGCACAGCAAGTTGTGCGTGACATCACAAGATGACACAGCCTAATGACCTTTCCTACCATTCTATTAATATCCAATGGCAAGCAAGACCTATTGTCAGAAGTACATTGGTGCCAATTCAGCAGTAAAATATTTACTTGTGGATTTCATGTATTTTCACAGTAAGTCTGTATTTATAAATCATGGGCTATTCAAAAGCACATTTTTGTTCATTATTAACCTCTCTTGGATTCTTCAGAATTCTGTTAAAACAACCAGTCACACGCGTACTAAGAATTTGGTTGGTTGATGTTTTGAAAACCAATTTTTATTCAGAAATCTGCATTTTCTGACCAAGAATTTCAAGCGGGGCTATGTAAAGCAACTCACTGCATGGTAAACAGTATTTACTTACAAATAAATTTTCATTTGTACATCCTAAAACGATGCAATCTGCAAGGTGGTTGGAGCGTAGCTGGAATTCATGAATAAGTCTTTAAAATCTCTAATAATTCATCAACTGCACATTGGAAAACTGATTTCCCTTTCCTGGTTGAACAATCCCAGTCCACAGCTTGACCTGTGTGATTGAGGCTGTTACGCCCCAACTATGGCCTCAGCCCCAACTATAGTTGGGACCAAAGCCATAGTTGGGACGTAAGGCTATGGAGAGAGGATCAAAATTCAGTTCCAGGTGCCATAGATTGTTAAAACTCAAATACAAAGAAATCACACAAATCTCTACATGTGATTTCCATCCAGTAGACACAGTTTGCATGTTGTTACTGATGACTTCAAAGAAGCCTCAGGTCAACCAAGTGGATGAAATGAAGTATTTATTTCCAAAATGCGATAAGTGCCATTTACATGTAGGTATCTTTCTGAATCCTACCCTCCGTCTGATGCCTGCAGTCAGTTCCAACATCTGTTAGACTGCTCAACACAGCTTTAATGACTCAAAATAGAGAAAAAGAAGTTTAGGTATGTTAGGGGCATTTGGTACACTGCAAAAGCTCTGAAATCTTACATAATTATGGAAAAATTGCATGTTTTTCAAATGGATATACATATGCATGTATCTCATTTTGGAAATAAACCCTTCAAATAATGCATTATCTTGTATTTACCTGTAAGCTGTTCATCATATGTTCAAGTGCAAAGAAATAACTTATCAGGATTCGTAATTTCAAAATCTGAACTCCACATCGTGCCTGCCCGAGGAAATGTAGAAGCTCTCTAGACTTTCGTATAACGATCGCCATTTGGGTCAAACATTTAAGCAGCAATTCATACTGACAGCAACGTCTTGAACTGAGACTAGTCAAGCAAGAACTGGTTAGTGCACAGGAAAATTAATGCTATTTTTGAAAAATGCATCATTTTTAAATTACGCATATTTCACCCTACATGTGTCTGATGCACATTCAACAAGGGCGTACAGATGGTTTGTACCACACATACGGTTCTCGTGAATGACTGCAATCTAATTGCTCCTGCACAATATCCAAAATGTGACAGGTTTCATTCAAAATGAGAAAGGACGTGAAAACCCAAAAAAATTCCTTTTTTCAATTTGAATTTAAGTTGTAAACTTAATTTAGACAGTGTAAATGAAGGTTCACATTCAAATGGAGAAGGTAAGTTTTGGGGGGATCAAAAAAGCCTACTTGATGGAAAACAAAGCCTGCAGTAAACAGGTGCCTGTCAAATCAGACTTAAATTACCCTTCAATAAAGTTTAATACACGCATGTACATATTAAAATAAAGATTAGTGTAATACAGCTTAATATGCCTGTAAATAAATAAATAAATTTAAATATAAATTACTCTGAGCATACCAAAACAAAAAGCTACCAGCACAAAATCACAACAAAACCTGCACAACCGCAAAATGGAGTTGTCAGAAAAGCAGCAACCAAAAGTGACAAATATTACAATGTGTCGGTGCATGACTGGGATGCATAACCCTGACCAAATTTAAGAATGGCACGTCACTGAAAAGGGAGAATGACCAGAACAAAAATACTTTTAAGTAAAAGAGTCCCCTGTGTCAGTCGCCAGTTACGCCCATACATGTATTGGTCTCTTTTTTCCCTCTGAGAATTTTGCCATCTTGAATTTTGTGCAAATCTGGTAGCATCCAGCACACAGCCATACATATTTGTAATTTGAGAACTCATCCACACAAAAATAAAACAATGACTTTTACAACTTGTCTCTCATTCTGTGTTCGATTTCAATTTCACTGCAATTGTCAAGTTGCTGGAAACTCTGGTGCACTGCTTGCACTGTGCCATTTTACATGTCTGTCAAAGTCTGCAAGGAGGCAACTTTCACACAGAACTACAATTAGCAGAAAAGACTATATCAGTGCTGATCGATATTGCTGTTTAATTCAAGGAGAATATACCCAGTATTCTTTAATGCTTGAGGTGAGGTGAGGTGATACATGATTACTAAGGAATCAGAACTGTATGTATATTGTTTACAAAATCGCAGCAACAATGGCAAAAGACAATTTACAGCATTTTGAGTTTCTATGATGCTGAAATGAAAGTATGTCCCACTGTGGGTCCTTCCTGATATCAACCTATCAAGAGGCAGGTGTTGATATTGATAACCAATGTCTACAGAAAGTCAGCCTGTTAATGTTTGTGCATTCGCTAATGTTCATTTTTTGTCTATATCCAGTGACCTTTACAAGAGTAACCTGGCTCTGGTGGAGGGGGGGAGGCAAGGCGCACCTAGGGAAAAAAACGGAAAACTAGGGGGAAAAGAAAAAAAAAGAGAAAAAGTGAAAGAAACAAAATGGAGATGGGATAAAAATCAATGCTTTACTGAAAAAATTTCTTGGAATTGATGCCCTTCCCCATTAATGGCTTGTCAGGTTACTGCTGAGAAAAATTGCACCCTCCCCTGGAAAAAAAACCCTGGTGACGCCCATGGAAACTCACTGGCCAGTGCACAATCATCATGTGAGAAGATAGCAGCAAGTTCTTTTACATGTAATATCAAGTATTGCTGCCTACTCTTTGCCAGTCAGTGCATTTATACATGTTACAGTTGAACCTCATACAAGATTCTGCTTACAGCAAGGAAATCTTCAGGGCCCAGTGTTTTGTTTTTCATTGTTTTCATTCCTGATAATACCAGGCTCCTGTTATAACAAGGTAATTTTGCCAAGTCCGAAGAGCTTCTTACTGACGAGGTTCGACTGTACATGTAGGTGACCAGTGGATAAATAAGGATGAACATTAGTGTGATATGTGTGGGGTCAATGAACTGTAGACATGGTAATCAATGCCAACATCGCCATCTTGTGATGGCTATCAGAGAGGCAACTGTCTTAGCGTACCCGTGCGTTCTGACAACTTGCAGTACTGGTAC